AAGGGAGAGTACAAGCTGATTATCACTGGCTCCAGCGTAGAAGACGTCAAGTTTACATTTGATCGATACTAGAACGCCCGGAAACGGCCACTAAAGATTACGAAGAAGCAATTAATCTGTATTAGCAAGGGTAGTCTTGTTTTTGGTTAGTCCTAAGCGTACCACAATTAAGTTAGAACAGTTTTTTCTACTGTAAACGAACCATTAGTCTGCGTGATTAATGATCAGAAGGAACTTTCGAATTTACTGCTGTAACGATAGATTGTTCAGGGTTGCCTCTAATTCACTTGTAGTTTATACAGTTGAGTAGTTTTGTGGTGTCAAGGTCCTTGCACATCATTTAAATAAAGTTTCTAAGCTACAAATAGCTGTCTCGTAGATCTCGGGAGAAGAGCGGGGACAGGGGACAGGGGACAGGGGACAGGGGGGGGGGGGGGGGGGGGGGCTGTATTGAGATGGACTTCCACTACAATAAATTAAACTATTTAGGGGTTTGTTGTAGAAGACTCTAGTGCTACGTCGATGGCTAACTGTTTACATTCCTCTCTTTCCCTTGCCTTTTCCCAGACTGTCCTCCGCCCGCTAGTCTGCTACACAGCCGTTTTAAGTGTCGTCACGCAATGCTCGTCCCGTTGCCTGACGACACTAAAACGGCTGTGTAGCAGACTACCGCCTACCAAGTAGATTTCTTACTCATCCCCAGGCTAGACTCCGTACATTTGAAACCAAGATGGCCGACCGTGATTAAGGGAACAATCTCTTTTAATTACGGGAAAATAGGGGACTGTGCACAGTCTACGTCAATGGGAAATTAACACACAAAGGATTGGTTACTTAACACGCTCTGTGATGATTCTGCCGGTAGCAATGGGAACTATTGAAGAGAATTAAGCCAACAGGGATGATCTTACATTTGCGAGGGTTATTGGATGCGATTTCCTGAATGTAGTCAGACCGACTCAGACCATTTCCTAGGAATAACCTCTAAGAATGTTAGTTTAACAACAAATCTTGCGCGTTGACCCCCGGTAATTAAGTAAGAAGTCGTTCATCAAAACCAGCAAACAGTATAGAGCCTTAGTGAGTAACTTGGGGAACTTCACTGGAAAGTCTTCCGAACTAGAACCGACATTTCTGACACAGTATCAGTATCCCTTGCTCTACAAAATCAAAACACCCTGACCTTATCAGGGACCTCTAACGCAGGATGGAGAATTTTTATCATTGATTTATATTTTTAATGACAAATTAACAGTAAGCATTAATATAACAAAATGCTCGGCTAATCCCCTACATAGCAGTTTTACTTTGAGTTACATGAAGCCCGATTTCTTGTGTTACAGTTTGAATGCTACTTTTTAAAATTGAACTCGATTTGGAAATGGTTTTGCCCTCAGTCTCAAATTATTTTTATCTTGTCGTAGAAGAAATTCTTTGGATCTGCCTTACTGGTGGTCGCGCAGGTCTTCGTCTTCGGATAGCATTCACGGCCATCATGGAACATAAACGAAATACAGGCTGGGTTATTATTGCAGCGTTGAGCACACTCTGCCAGAGAGACAAAGCCATGGATGTACCAGATGTCGTTTCCACTGCAATCACCAGGTCTCATTGCGTAGCCTTTTGGGACCTTGTCATAGAATACGTTCTTTGGGTTTTCCGTGCTGGGCTGGGCGCAGGTCCTGGTTTTTGGGTAGCATTCTCGCCCATCAAAATACATGAATGAGACGCAACTGGGATAGTTGTTGCATCGCTTGGTGCATTGTGACAAGGAAACAAATCCATGAATCGCCCAGATATCATTTCCTTTACAACTACCAGGCCTCAGAGTATAACCATCAGGTACCTTGTCGTAGAAGATGTTCAGCTTGTTGCTAAGACTTGTTACGCCACACCCTTTAGTCTTCGGGAAACACTCGTGGTTGTCATACTGCATAAATGCATTGCAAGCGGAGCTGGGATCACAAATTCGAGCGCAGGCCTGCCGAGTCGCGCTGCTTCTATAAAGACTCCAGATGTCATTGCCTGGGCAGCTGCCTGGGCGCATGGTGTAGCCAGAAGGAACTTTGTCGTAAAGCACGTTGAGAGGGTTGCTCTTGGAAGTTACACCACACGTTTTTGTCTTCGGGTAACAACGGTGATTGTTGTAGAATTTGAAAGCCTGGCATTGGGTGGAAGAGGAACAAAGCCGTGCGCATTCTTTCAGAGTAGTACGATCTCTATAGAGGGACGATATGTCGTTTCCAGGGCAGTCACCGCTTCGAACTTGGTATCCCTGCGGCACAACACAACGAAGCTGATCACCTTCAGATTGGAAACGGCAAGGCTTGGGACTTTCGTCATTTCCAAAAGCAAAGCTTCTCTTTTGCCGAGATTTTACAGCTGCAGACATGAGCAGGGGCAAAGCCAAAAGTATCAGTGGCAACAAATTGTACCTCGTTTCTAAGCTCTGTGGAAAGGATAACATAACATAACTTTATTATTTATATAGCGCAAAATACATTGGTAGATGATCTAATGCGCTTTACATTACAATGCTTATAATACTACAATGTAATGGATAAAAATTACAGCTTTTCTAAATAGTTAATAAATGGATACTAGATAAAAATATTATATATGCGTGCAAAAAATCTATGTTAAAATATTATAGGTTATAAGCTCACGCGTTTGCCTACTCGTCAAGATGGCGTCGAAAACCGTGACAAGGCCTATTGCACTCAACTACAAGTCGTGACTAGATGATGAGATATGGCTGATGGAACGACTTGAAGCGTTGTTTATTGGAATGATGCGAACCGCTGTGGAAACAGCAACACGTTGCGAACTGGTTGCATCCGTCGCAGAAAAATTTGTGCTTTTTGAAACAATACTCCGAGAATCTTTAAGAAGAATCTAAGCGCTCAAAATTCCTGCCTCCTCCAAGGTAAAGGTTGATATGATATAAATTTCTACGTATACAGTTTGTTTTAAATGATCGTGAGCCGTTGTTTTTGTTGTTGATCTCGTTTTTGTAATTTTTTTCTCTAAATTTACTGCCTTTAATTAGCTTAAGTATCTCTTATTTACAAGAATATGAAATAAAGTTGTAATGTTGTCGTCAATAACAATACCAAGCGAATTTTCTTGAAACGACATTAGAAATAATATTTAACGTACAAAAAGTACAACTTTTATTTTGGATTCATAAGATAATCAAAAAGTTTCCCAGATGTACTCGTAATGGATAATTTTTTTTTCCAGTATCAGGGCAACTCTTAATGTTCAACTTACGAACGAAGAAATCAAACATGGGGCTCAAGTCATCAAGCAAGCTGCTGAAAGTATATTTGGATAAAGTGAATCAGTGACTGAATCAAGTTGTATAAACACGATAGCTGATAACAAGTAATTTCGTTGATGAGACGTCATTGAACCTCCTCGAAGATTGTTTTAAATGTTTAGATTTAAGGGCTGTTTAGATGGAGGGAGGAAGCAAAGTTAAAATTCCATAACTACGAAAAGGCATAAATATATTCAAATAAAAAAGCGGAATAATTGTGAATGAAAATGTCATTACGTATAAAAAAAGGCTTATCTGTTAAAGCATTTTTTTTTTTTGGTAATCCAATTTCTTTATAAGTTAAGGAGCGCCATCAGTTTTAACAAATATAGGAAGTGTTCAATATTTGGAGTTTCCTACAAATAAACTCGAGAGTCGACTAAGAGTGAATTTTAAACGAGTGGGCAATTTGTACCTGAGTGTCCCCGCGTTGTATCTATCTAACTAAAGTCAAATTTGATGTCATCAGCTGTAATGTAAACGTAGTGTTAAGTGCAAAAACAAAACTGAAGCAATTTGTTTTTTAAAATAAATTTAATAACTTTTAAAACATTGAATGGCTCCGGTCCCCGTTATCTTGAAGATATTTTAAAATTTTACCATCGATCAAGGACATTACGGTCATCAAGGGATCATTTACGCCTTGAAGAACCAAATTTTAACATGAAAAGTTATGGCCAGCGAGCGTTTTCCGTTGCTGCCCCCCGACTATGGAACAAGCTCCCCTTTGAAATTCGAGCTTGTTCTGATGTTAATCTTTTTAAATCTAAGTTGAAAACGTTTCTTTTTAAAAAGGCATATGACATTTAGTTCCATCATATTTGTGTTTTATTTTTTATTTTTTTATTTTATTTTATTTTATTATTATTTATTTTTTACCCTTTTTAAGATGTGTATGCTAAAAATTTCCCAATATGTACAGTAGGGTTATATGTAAGCTTGTGATTAATGATATTCTTATGTCCTTTTTTACATTGTAAAGCGCTTAGAACAGCGATGTATAAGCGCTAAATAAATTCCATTATTATTATTATTATTATTATTAGTTTGCCAGACGTTTAACTGTAATGTGTACTCTCATTTCACTTGATTCGACCCAAAATTCCAGTGAATAGACCCTATGAAAATTTCAGGATTTGGGCCTCTTTCATTTCTTCGCTCTCGTTCTATTTTTCGCGCGGCCAAAACCGAAAATCCCGTTCCTGGCCACGCAGGCTACAAACTCGAGGAGACGGCTGAAATTCAATGTTAATAACCCTGAAGCGAAAAACTCCTCTGCTCTGTTCCAATGCAGATTTTTTTAGAGAATCAATCAGAATTTATTTGCAAATATTGAATTACTGATACGCGCGAGATTATTGCGCGACTGGGAAAACCTTGTATCGCGATGTGAACGAAGCGAATATATATTTGTCAAGAGATTGTTCAAGCCTGCGAAAATATCCGTTTCTCCTCGCTCTTCGCCGATGGGGACGTTTCGAAGAGCGAGGAGAAACGGATGTTTTCGCAGGCTAGAGATTGTTCCTGATTCCTGATTTTGTAAAAATCTTGAAACTGAAGGCCGATTGCTATTTAAGTCTAATATGTTGTAGTACGTGCATTCAAAATGCTGTAATCAGTTTATCTTGCTAGTTTTCAAATTTAAAATATAAATATTCCAGGCCAATGGTGTTGCTGTGGCGTAGATAGAGGATTATTCTTACCAGGCAACGTGTATATGTTGTAGTTAATTTTTTGTCTCAGTTAATTTTGTTTTCTAACTAGTTAGTTTTTTTCTAACTAGTTAATTTTTTTCTAACTCCTTTTTTTTAAACGCCCCAAATTTGTCGCTTTCTGCACTATAATCTGAATACCAAAAGAAAAATCTAATACAAAAGTACAGAAAAATTTCCTGGCGACCAATTTGGAATAAGATGTTTAGTGTTAATCGTTTCTTGTCTAGCATAGACTGATTTAAATTCTTTCACCATTTAGCACATACACGCTAAACCTTCTTGTCACAAATTGATGGAAAACTTGAGCGATCAGCGGCTTCTCATAAACCAACAAAACTCACGATATTTTTAAATGGAGGTATATTAATTTCATTGTTTTACAGCTTTGAAACAATAAACAAATTCCACCGGGCAAATGCAATGGCTATTCGCTATTTGTACATCTCCAATAATACACCAGATGTTTGTCTCATTTCTCTTGGTACGACTGTAATACCTTGGAGAATTGAAAAACAAAGGTTATGCAAAACTTTAGGGACAAACAGTGCTTAGTTTCCGACGTGTTCTCCATAAGAGGGGCGGTGGACTGACTTGTCGTACACTCCAGCCAGGTCTTCGAGGTCGTGCTTGGTCAGTACAAGTTTGTTATAAGATTGCTACACTGCATCCTGCATTTAAACGGTAAGAAGGTGTTATTAATTTATAGGTTTACGCCAGCTCTTGCCCCCAAAAACGCTGACTTGAAATTAAAGTAGTAATAACGTGTTGAGGTCTGTCGATAAAAATCCTCTAGTGTGACCATTGCAATGAAAGCACTGAGCAGTACTTTTTGAGGTTTATATGGTTACTATGCTGTACAAGTCGTAAAACGTGCACGTGGTTCTAACTTTTGTGACTGGATAAAATTTGAACTGCGACCATTCACACCCATGCACCAGCTAAGCAGACCGGTACAGCTCCGTTTGTTTTCGGTTTTTAAAGTATGAAATTCGCATTGGGTAGTGGATATAAGAGCGACTCAAACGCAAGGACGGCAAGCTGCAATAACGCAATTCTTTTTTCCATCCGTGTTACTTAGGTTTTAGTAATTTTGACACAATTTTAGTGGTAGCCTGCTGAATTTACAGCACATTTCACAAAACTATTGACAAACGAATTCCGAAATTCCGGCTATTTCATTACGTAGTAGTTTTTCAACCCAACGAAGTTGAATACGGGAGTTGCAAAGTTGTGAATTTCACGTGCAAAGATGTTGGAAAGTTGCGAAGTTCGTAGCATTCGGTGTAGGTGGCTTGGTAATTTGGTATTTTTAATATCTACAAGTAGTTATTTGTAAGATGAAAAATAAAGTTACAAAAATATAAACCACATACGTCGACAAGCAGCTCATTCATAATGTGTTCTGGTTCCCCGATGCGCATTAGATCCCAATAATTGCAACTTTGAGGCCAACCAAAAAGGAAGCCGGCGTTTAGTTATTCTGTTACTTGGGGCTTTCAAATGAAGATCAATTAACGAAACTAAATTGAAGAAACTAATGGTAAGCTGAATTTATTAACTTCTTAACCGTTACTATCTTGCAGTATCAAAAAGTTAGGGTAGGCTCTTAATTCAACGACAGTTTAAATGTCAGTTTAAATGTCAGTGGTCCAGTTTTATAAAATAATGTTCTGTCTTTATCTTATAGGATATGTCAACTGAACAGAAGCAGAAGTACACCAAACACACACCTTTCATTTGTGAAGTCATTTACAAGCCGGTAGAAGGTGAAACGAAGGGGCTTTCTGACGTTCGTAACATCACTGTTGTTCAAAATGACTCGGACACCTACAAAGTGAAAGTCTACAACGTCGAATCAGAGATTCACATGTTCCCTATTATTCCCGATTCTGTGAATTGCGATCCTGGAGAGCAGAAGCCCACAGGAGATATGTGGACGCCTTGGTGTGATAATCAGCAAGCGCTTGAAGAAGGCCATTACATCCGCATTACACTTTCAAAGAAGAAGGAGGATGACCATGTGTACCAGCTGTTCCAGTCAGGCCGGAATGTCTACAAAACCGTCAACATGGATTACTCGCTTCGCGCTCACATCGAAGGTAATTACAACATCAAGAAGGGAGAGTACAAGTTGATTATCACTGGCTCCAGCGTAGAAGACGTCAAGTTTACATTTGATCGATACTAGAACGCCCGGAAACTGTCGCAAAAGATTATGAAGAAGCGATTAATCTGTATTAGCGAGGGTAGTCTTATTTTTGGTTAGTCCTAAGCTTACCACGATAATTTAATTTAGCACAGTTTATTCTGCTGTAAACGAACCATTAGTCTGCGTGATTAATGATCGGAAGGAACTTTCGATTTACTGCTGTAACAATAGATTGTTCAGGGTTGGCTCTAATTCACATGTAGTTTATACAGTTCAATAGTTTTGTGGTCTTTCGTGGTGTCAAGGCCCTTGCACATCAATTAAATAAAGATTATAAGCTACAAATACGCGTCTCGGAGATCTTGGGAGAAAGAACTAATTTTATCGTAGATTTCATTCACTGCGGTTGCAACTAGAACACTTAGTTATCTTGTTTTCTTCGGCTATTTCCACACAAATGTTCTCTTTAGTTACCACCACAAAAATGTTCACTCGTATATTGAAGCTGATGATCGAAATCGCTTCTTTTTTCCTCTTCAAAACACATTTGCTCTCGAAAGTTAACTCGCTCCCAAACTTTCTCAACCGCTAAAACAGCCGAAGCTTAGTCGGCTGGGCAACTGGTACACATATCCCGAAATGCATGTAACTCGGCCGGGATCTCAAGGCCAACAGCGATCCATCAGTACGCGGGTGCCAACAAATAATAAATCCCCGCTTAATTCCCTAAAGATAAAGGGCATATCTATTTTCATTTCCCGACCTACCCTCTTCCATCCGGAATTTTTTTTTTCCATATTTAATTTTAATTAGTGCAATTCTAACCAGAAAATTGAGACGTTAGACTAACGAATGAAGAAAAATATAAGTTGTAAAGCGTCGGCTTGTTTGCCGATGTAAGTCACCAAAAGTAGTTTAACTCACCAAATTGTATGAAACTTAAAGGTATAAGGCCGATTTTTAATTAGTCATATGCAATACAATTACAAACAAAGAACACAATTTCTGGGCAACGATCGATAACGCGATTTCAATTATCAGTACTGGGCCGACTTACACCCGACCGAGCCGAAGCTCTTTTTGTTTTCTTTTTCTTGAGCGAGAAGTAGAAAAGGTTCTTCCTCAAGAACGCCAAAATGGAGCAAGCAAAAGAAAATCTCTGCGAGCACTGAGGTGCCCAATTTAGATTGTTTTTAAAATCAACTTGAAGATGGTCTGTTTGTTAATCTAAGCAAGGCTGCTTTTTAATCGAACCTCCCAATTGTCTGAATTGAATGTTTGAGTTAAATATTTGAATTGAATCAGTGACTGGAAAAGTTGGAATTGAATGTTTCAGTTCATGTCTGAATCGAGACATGAGATGATTTGTTTGTCAGTCTAGACGAGACATCGATTTTCAATTAGAGTCGAACCTTCCGTAAGCGATCACCTAAATGGGCTAAGTGGTCGGATACGAGAGGTAGTTGCTTGGAGAATGGATACAGCTATTTCAAGAAAGGTTGTCGGAAAAAGTGCACTCGACAATCCCGAAAGGTATTGTGGGTGATTTTGAGCACACTGTTTTCCAAAGAAATTTCAAAGAATGGCACGAGAGGCCATAGACGTATGTTTGCCTGTGCTAAACGAAAGTAACAAAAGTAGATTAGACAGCTACAGTGTCAGGAAAAGTGCATTGATCATGTCCCATATTACCTTTCGAGATTGTCGCGTGCACAGTTTTTCCGACAACCTTCCTCGAAATAGCTGTCTACAGGGGGTGTTTCCAAAAAGAGATCTTGACACACCTACTTTATAGAAGATAACTTTTTGCGCGAAATTTTGCGAAGTTACGATATGTCTAGTTCCTTTGTCAGTGATCGTATTTTTTTTTCATATTCTACTGTGTAACATCCACCTTATCCCAGTTTGCCGTCAAGTTAGAACTAAAGTCGATTTAGCTATATGTTGATGTTTTCACGATTTAGCGTCGGAACTTAAAAAACACTAATTTTGATACGTAAAATAGAACTTTAAACGTGCATCACACTAAGTTTTCACACATTTCTTTGCCGACCATGCACGGCAACTACGAGAAAATGCCTAATTTCAGGTTTTATAGGGGACATGTAAGGGAAGTAATTCTGATTGACGACTGTTTCAGCAGAAGGTCAAGTAATCAAAAAAGTACACGTGCGGTAGACGTTTCATAAAATGTCTAAGGCAGGCTCTCTTAATTCCTGTTGTACATGTTTGGGTTTAATTTTGTCCTGGTTCAAATTTTAACTAAGGCTATGTTCACTCCATACAGAATATCTTGTGCCGGTACACAACTGGAACAAGTCCCTCACACACAGCGAACTTCGACAACATCCTGCCGGAGCGAGTGGTCGAGAGAGTTTGGATAAATAATCCTAACCCCAATCATGAATATTTGTATTTCTTCTTATCCATTTCCGTCACTGTCTGAATACCTGTTCACACTGCACCAAAGTGTGGTACAGAACCTATCCGTTATGTGACACTCCACTTTCGAGATTGGCACGGAGCAGCTTCGCTCCGTTACAAAAATGGCGACAAAATCACTGTTATTACAAGTGAACAGAATCCCTATCCGGTATGATTTTCTCGCCGGTGCAATAGAGAGGAGAAGTGTGACGTCACATTACCATGGTAGCAATATTTCTGGATGACAACAAAACCAACGACGATGGCGACGGAGAGGAAAACGGCAAAAAGAAAATGTTTATAATAACAAACAACAACTTTGCACGTGCATCACGCTATTTTATGCATTTCTTTGCCGTCGTTGCGCCACTACGACATGGAACTTCCCAATTTCACGAGCCCGCTTTATGGAGTAAGGTCACACAGCACAATTATTGTCACTTTCTTTTTCTAAACTTAGATAACGATAGATACGGTCCCAGGGAAAATTTTACCAAGATTTGCCAAATTAAATGAAATTGAATAAGATCGGTGAAGTTTGAAATTGTGCGAATAGACTTTTAAGTGACTTTTTCGGTTTGTTGTCATCCAAAAATTTTGCTACCATGGCAACGTGAGGTAATGTCTTCTCTCTATAGCTATCCGATACACAGAAATTATAATATAAACCATGGTTAAATGAAACCACAACGTACGTAGATCTTGCTTTTCCCTTTTTTAATTTGAGAATAATGCTTACGAAAGTTGTGATTGCAGTCCATTATGAATCCCCAATCTCTCCCCTCTTGACTGAAGGGTCATTTCCCGGCTCCTCCCCACCCTTACAAAGTTGCAAAGTGGTTTGATAAAGAACACAAAAAATAACATCACTGACAAAGTTTATTTCATTACATAAGCGAACCTTTCTCCTTACATACTTTAAAAGTACATCATTGATTGCCTTAACTCCTGTTAAGATTGTTAAATTTTTAAGCAAGCAAAACTAATACGATTAAGAGACGGCTGGGTTCGCAGGCTATAAGGCCACAAGTTCCTGTCTAGCAAGGAGAGGGTTGCGGGCTTAAACTGATGTATTTCCCCGTGGAAGCAAGTTTGGTTACGACCAGTTTAGTGAATTCCCACAACTGATGGTAGCCCTTTATTCTGAAAAGGTAATCATCTGGGTTAGGATTGGAACTGCTTCCGGCAACCTGTACCATCTCGCCGATACCAGAAATGTAAGATCCGACAGCAAATACGTAGATATGGACTCCCAATTTCTTCAGTTTGTCGGCGTTGGGTATGGTCAAATGCTTCTCGACATTTGATTGGCCGTCAGTGATAAGTAAAACATTTTTACGATCGGCAAAACGTCCACCTGGAACAAATAAAACATGCGATTTATGAGAGAGGCATTCATGGAAGTATATCCTTCGCGTTGTTAGGTAACTAAACGTTGTAGCTATAATACCCGGAAGCCTAGCCTGTTGACACACGATTTTCTCAAAAATTTGGCTGGTGCCCTAGGAACCACAACCGGCTTAGCTGCGAAGCCACTCTTGTTTTCTAGATCGCTTAGTAATTCTGTGAACTGAAGATAGAATTATACTTTCAAGACCTCAGTGAAAGGAATTTCGGGAAAATTTCCACATAGTTTTCTGACTGGCGGGAATTTAGTCACAGCGAAACATATACCTGTAAGAGATTCCACAAACAGTTTCCTGGCCTCTGCCAATCCTGCTTGAGTATTGGTGGAGCCAGAGGGGAACTGTACGATCGTCAACCTTTGATCCGCTGTAGAGTAGGGTAAAAACTTGAAGTTCACTTTGGCTGAGCTTGCGAAGGTAACTGCAGCATACTTTTCGTCAAACTTGTTTTTGACCGCTACTGCATTTGCACTCTTCATCATATTCTTGATTGCTGCCTTTCCTCTTTGAAATTCGCAGTTACCAACTGACCCGGAACCATCCATGACGATCACATTATCAATAAGTAGGGTACTCGCTTGCCTCTTGCCGCGTGTATTCGTCGGGTTTATAAACAAAAAGTTAGTCAGAAATTTATTTGCAGTGACACTGATGGGGGGAACTTTTTGAAACTCTGCAAAAGAAAAACAAGACTAAAAATCAAGAGCACCAAGGAACAGTCCGGATAACTTTATAGTGAATTTGAAACGACTAAGAGGCAATGCGGCCGATTTCATGCGATGGAATTTGCATTGGACTCACACACGACTTACTATAATATAAAAAAGTTCTCGTTGGGACTCGTTACTGGCACAAACTGTATCGTAATTAAGTTGATTTATCAATAAATGGTTATATATAAGAACCAAGAGGCTAAAAATGAATCTTAGAAACTACTGAACTTGGCCCCAGGGTCTTCCAAGACCGCGGTGGGGACAAGATGTCAGCTGAAGCTAGCACGAATGAAAGTCACAACGCACGGCCAGGAAAAAAAATGACTTACTCTTATAGAAAGGATCGTTTATGTTAACAGGCAACTTGGTCACGGCGGGTGCCTTTGTTGGGTGCCATGGAACATGGGCTGAACTCTGCATGTCGTAAAGAAAAACAAGGACGCACACCATGGTGGCAAGTCGAATCGTAAATCCTGACATCTTTGAACTTAGCTCCAAGCTTCCAACTTACTGATGAACCTGTAAAAAAGCTGTTGAGCTTTTAAAGAGAAGCGAGACATGTTTGTGTTAGGTGATAACTTCTTTTGCAGCTGATCACTCCTACCAACGTGTTTTAGCTTATGAGGAACTGACCTGTTACAGTGTTAAGAGCGTTCGCGATGCATCTTTAATTACTGCTACTTCCCAGCGTTCTTCTCATTGTCATTTTTATTTTTTTTCACCTTTTTGTTTTGCATTAAATCCACTGCTGTTGGCTAGACAGTTTGATACATCGATATAATGAAAGTAAAACTCGGTTTTCCCTCAAGCCTTATGATTCGCTAACAACAAACTCCAGGACGGATTTAAAAATGTCTTATCGCGAAAAGCAGCGCAATCCCATGGAACAGGGGCACCCAGCGACTTTTATCTGTTAAATAACTGTTGGAAGGAGCAAATATTGCCTAGAAATTTCTAAAGCTTGTGAAAAGCTAAAACTTTCTGGATAACCGCTCCATTCGTCTAAAATATTCGGACATTTTCTAATAGCTTAACTACGATTTTCGGAGGTTGTGTTAGTCACATTGTAACACCAAGATATTGCAATTGTCGTTAAAAAAAGGTCTCCTAAAACTTTCGATGTAAAGACAAAACGTTCCCTAAAATTTTCTGATGAAAGCAAGGTTACTTCATGTCCTCGTACTTTCGACCGAGCCCGTAAGGGTAGCCAACACTTTCAGATGAGACGAAAAAGCCACCTAAAACTTTCGTGGCCCTCAAAGTTCGCGTAAGACATCCGAACAGATAAATAGTTTTTAGGGCAACTCCAAATTAACCAAACGGGCTTCTAAAGCACAGAGAAAACCATTTGAGACCTTTCTGGCGATCTGGCGAGATGGAAGATCATCTCTGCCTGAACCGCTTACCTGTTTTCAGCAACCCAGCTACACTTGACTGAAAAACACTGCTAGTTGTTTAAGTTTAAGTTTAAGTCATTCATTGAGCATCAACTTGACGTATTTTAGAAACCAAATATAATTAAAAGATCTTTCATTTCTTGTGTTAATACAGCTTTATCTAAAGGGACAATTTGTCAGAAATAGTCACGAAGCGTTTTAATAAGGAACATAACGTATGAGTATTGTTTTAACAGCCGCCGTTTGTCTGGAACGTTAACACTTGCTTCAGTGTTGGTTCTCGTCCATCCCCCGCGAGGTTTTTCTTCACTGGGAACTCTGGTTTAACCAATGTTTCTAAATTCTAATACGATCCAGAAATGATAGACGAAGGACCACTTCATATAGCGCAGAGTGAACAACTACAGTCTGTAGTGAATGAAGAAAACGTACATAGGACGTTTGACAAGAAAATAACGTATTAGAGCAATGTTTAAATCTTAGCAGCACGCAGTTCAAATACATGACTGAATTTCATTAGTGTTTTCTTTCAAACACAGGACGTGTAGACCCGTGATCAGCTCTTACTAATTTTTCCTCCCGTGTTCAGGGGCACCCAACGACAATTTTCGGAAAATTATCTGTTCGGAAGACGATTTGAGGTCTAGAATCTTCGGATCATTTTGTGACAAATTTCTTGCTTGCCTGCCTCTCCTAGGATTTTCGAACTTCAAAAAAATCGTATAATTGCCCATTTTTAACGGATTTTTACCCTAAAAAGGTCACCTAGAATTTTCGGGAGCCTTTTTTCTGGCTGAAATTTTCGAAAAGGTAAATTTTGATCCCTATAATTTTCGGATCACTATACTTTCAGCTAGGAAATCCGAACAGATGAAAAATTTTTAGGGGATAAAAATAAGCCTTTATCTACCGTTTAAATACTAAAGTACGTTCAACAATGCTATGTTTATGTGGTTTTGAACTATATTCTCGTTGGGTGCCCCTGCGTGTTCACGAGCCAGAACTGATTTGTACCCTGTTTTATCCGCGTAGAACAAAGTGCTATCAACAAATAATAATTTCGGTAAAGTATGTTAAAATAACTCGAGTTGTTAGTTCAAGTGACATTTTTTTTGGCACTCAGTGTAGCTGCTTAAAGCCGTCCTTATTAACTCAAGCATAAATGAAAACTATAAACCAACAAGGCTGTGTTGCAAAGAAGAAAAGCTCACTCATCTAAGCAACTACGTACTCAACACGAGAAAATCAAGGGCACCCAGTCACCGAATTTTTTTAAATATGAGAGAAGTGTCTCAATGGTTTCCTCTATCCTTTAAAGGCCTGTTTGGTTAATTTAGAGTTGCACTTAAAACTTCTTATCTGTTCAAATGTCTTGGGGGAACTTTGGTCGTCTCGAAAGCTTTAGGTGACTTTTTCGTCTCATCCAAAATTTTCAGCCACCCTGATGGTGCTCGGTCAAAAGTTCAAACACATGGAGTTGTTGTACTTCATTAGATGATTCTAGGGGACGTTTTGTCACTCTATAAACCGAACATCTCAGGGGACGTTTTTAAACAACAATCGCAATATCTTGGTAATAAAATGTGAAAAACACAACCCTCCCAAAATCGTAGGTAAGTTCCTGAGTGAAAAACTCGATCCGAATATCTTTTAAACAAATAGAACGGTTATCCAGAAATGTTAAGCCTTTCTCAACCTTTAGAAACTTTTAGGCAATATTAATGCTCCCTCGAACAGTTATTTTAAAAAAAAAAGTCGTGTGGTGCCCCTGGAAAATCAAACTTCTCAAAATAAAACGTCGCCGCTAATTTTTCTCATACGTTGTTGTGATATCACTTATTATTATCCAAAACGACTGGCTATGAAGATACGTGCAATTTATTCCCGAAATCCATCAAACACGGGACGATTTAATATCACAAAGTTGAAGCAAAATACTTTTCTCTATTGTTTCGTAGCTCTTCAGTAATATAACCCTTTCCTTAGACAAAGTGATTTAGTGGAAGATTTCAAGGATTTAATAACGATCGAAAAGTCTTCATCAGATTCAGTTTCCAAATTAAATTACACGTCACAGTCTTTCAATCTTTGGAATTTGTTAAAATCATTATAGACTGAGTAGGCGGAAAATATCAGGTTGCACCCTCTCTAATCACCCACCACGTCCTCTTTCTGTATTCCTTCTTTGAGTTCGCGAAGTTCTTACACCAAGTTTATTGGCAAGCTCTTTGTAAAATTACTCATGGTGTTTTTTTAAAGATTTGTTCCGAAACAACAGAAAGCAAGCTTTTATTCTAGGAAAGCTTGCACAAAACCTTAAGCCCGTTTCAAACGTCGTGCTACTGCCGTGCCTAGCCCAATTGATCGAATTAAATTCGACTTTAGCACGGCAGTAGCACGACGTTTGAAATCAAGTCGTGCTATTGCCGTGTAGCACGGCAAGCCTTACCGTGCTACAAACGTCGTCTAAAGTAAACACACACCTGTAGGCAAACGATCCCGAAGATTGTCTTATATTCAATTACGAGTTCACCGCTCAGATAAAGAAACACTGATCTTGTGCCGATTGGAACCGTTGGGGAAGTGCAATTTACAGACGAATTCATATCGATTCAGTAAGAGCTCAACGATGAATGTTTTGAGCGTAGAAGGAGGGTTGAAGAACGAAACATGACTGACGTGGATGAAGAAGAATTTGAAGAGGAACAAGATCCTCGTGTCATAGCAACCTCCTCTGGGAGAATCCTAAAGCTTCCAAACCGTTGTTATTGAAAACACGGCCTAAAGGCCAGTGGGAACTCAGCATTTAAGGTAACGGGGATGTGCAAATGTGGTCAAATTGTAAGCCAAAAAAGTCCCTTAGAATTGAAACGAAACCATAAAAAAGTCCCGAGGCCACAATTTAACCCCAACCGTTAATCAATTAAAAGACTAAAAGAACAAACCAGGATTATTGTTCAGACTAAATGTTTGGGTCAAGTTTTCGTAATATTTGTCGTCATCACTTTGCAGACCTTAGAGCTTGAAGACATTCTCGCAAACTAGCGTCAAACTACATCCAAACGTTTGGAAAACGTTAAATACTTCGGATGCAATGGCACGGATTCGAGGAGTTATTCTCCCACTTTTGTGTAGCTGGGTGAATGTTTGTAAGTTGTGATCGGTTTAAGAATGATATGCAAGCCCGTCAGTGATTATTAAGACTGAAGGTACCGCTTTCGATTCTAAGAAAAGAAGTGTACGAACGTGAACAAAATATTCGAAGAACCATAACATTTTTATCCCAATTCTTCCTGTCTCTTTTGAATACTAAAAAAACCGTGGTAAGATTAAACTATCCCCCAAACTACTAGCCAAGATTTTTTCAACAAAATCCCAAGACCGTGAATTATAAAAAGACAAGTGGAGCGAGCTCTAACCCCCAGTCCATTTGGTTTCTTAAGTTGATAGCTTTATTGCCGTATAATTTTCAAACCTTTTGAACCTCAAATCTTGAATGAAAAACAGCTTTACGGGCCCAGAAATTATCGGGACCTTTTTATTATACTTCACCTGGATAGAGCCTCTATCCACGGTTCAACGACAGCTAACAGGAACCCTCTTCAGTTACGGCATGAAACAGAATACTTGAAGGCATTCCTCAATGAGACATGAAAGAGAAAAAACCTATACCTTTCTTGATAATACATCCAACCACTTCTCAGTAGTCACCCAACGGTTATGAGCTGAGCGGTACAGAAACTCAGGAGCTCTCAGAAGTAACGATATCTTCTTTTTTTAACCATACTTGTATATAACTAGATCAGCTGATTTATCGTCTATTGTTGTCATTTATCGCGTACATTTCCACTGAACTTGATAGCAACATTTATAGCTATTTATAAGAGTTAAGTACCATGCAGAATTACATTTATTTTGACCCAACGAAGTATTTGAAAAATTTCGAGCAATACTGAAAAGAACGCGAGCATGCGAGCAATTGCAAAAATGTTGCGAGCATGAGCAAGCGAACACTTAAAAATTTTAAGGTACCGTTCATCACCCCTAGAACTACCTCTTATGAGAACTACAGGAGTAATCACT